GGCCACTACTCCCGCCCTGAGAAGACCACAATGCTAGAATACACATGCACTACCGACAACAGCCAGGACACGGAAGCAACCTAGATGTCTATCAACACATGAATGGATAAAGACGCTGTGGCACACTTCTACAACTGAGTACTGCTCAGCCATAAAGGAATGAACTTGAGCCAACTGTAGTGAGGTGGGTGAACCTAGACCCTGTTAGAGAGTCAAGCAGGTCAGAAAGAGAAAAACAAGCACCGCATGTCAACGCACATGTATGGAACCTAGAAAAATGGTACTAACAGACATTAGGAAAGAAGGGGCTATGCACACAGTGGGGAAAGGTGAGGCTGGGACAAATTGTATACAAATAGTGTAGTGTTAGTCGCTCAGTCTGGAGAAGGCAGTGGAACCCCGCTCCAGTCCTCTTGCCTGGAAAATCCCATGGATGGAGGAGCCTGGTGGGCTGTGGTCCATGGGGTCACGAAGAGTCGGACACGACTGAGCGACTTCACTTTCACTTTTCACTTTCATGCATTGGAGAAGGAAATGGCAACCCACTCCAGTGTTCTTGCCTGGAGAATCCCAGGGACAGCGGAGCCTGGTGGGCTGTTGTCTATGGGGTCGCATGGAGTTCGACATGACTGAAGTGACTTAGCAGCAGCAGTCGCTCAGTCATGTCTGACTCTTTGTCACCCTATATATACACATATGTATATGTGTATATATATATGTACATATGTATATGTATATATGTGTATATGTATATATACACACACATACACAAATACACACACATAACTGATTTGCATTACTATACAGCAGAAACCAATTCAAAATTGTAATGCAATTTTCCACCAATTAAAAAAATAAAATTTAAAACCAATTTTTAATACTAAACCTTCTGTGAATCAAATCCATTCCAGTATGGTAATTCAGAGTTAATGTTCCTGGCACATGGAACAGGATTAATGTCTCAAATGATAGCAGATAAAAGTCTCTACCTAAGAGTAAAAAAATGTGCTACCCAAAGAACACCAGCATAGACAATGAAACCCTCTGCCTAAAATCTATGTCTTATAAGCCTACAAGTGGTAGAATAAACCAGTAATTCCTCCATACAAATTCTATCAAGATTAAATCACATAAGGGCACATTACAGTAAGTGTCATTATAATACAACGCTGTTCTGCCAAATAATAAGCAGCAACATGAAATCTCCAAATCACATGTAAACTACCAAGTATTCCATGTTCTCAGAAACAGGTGTTGTTTCACCACAATTGATAACAAAAATATACTAAGATTATCTTAATACAGCTTTTCAATAAAACCTCGAGAACATTTTTCACATCTCTATCCTATATCTACTTCAGTATTGAATAAGTGTTCAGAAATAACCCAATTAACAAAGGTGAACCAAGTGATCAAAGAGAAGATTGGAAACTACTAATTAGGATGGCCATTAGCTTTCTACTGACGATTATTCACAGCTTCTCCCTGAGCGGCCTGCTTGCCACTGCTTCTTCAGCCCAGTCCACAAACACAGCCCTTACAGGAGGTGTCAGACTCTGCTGCAGCAAAATAAACACTTCTACACACTCATACATGATGAAATAACATTAATTACAATAAACAAAATTAGAAGTTATTAAGCAACATAAAATAAAACCCATGGTAGAAACCAGAGGAAAAAAACATGGTAAAAACAAGAGAAAAAGTGCTTAACACATCAGCCTAAGCCTAATGATAGCTAAAAATTAAGATAAAACTTCTCCATATATATTAAGACAAGTGAAAATGAAAAGTGTAATATTAACATAAACTCCTATAAATGGAATAACAATCTGGTTTTCAACTAAGACACTGACGGTTTCCCCCTTCCTCGATGTTGCTTCTATTACGCTGCAGTACCACCAAGCGGCAGAAGGATACACTGCAACCCCAGGACTGCTGGCTGAATACTCAAAAACACTCAAAAACAGCAACTACCATGGACTGAACCTTCCAAAATTCTTAGGAAGGCCTAACTCCCAACACGACTGTATTTGGAGCTAGGGCCTGTGAGGAGGTGGTGCAGGCTACAGGAGGTCATGCGGGTGGGTCTCTAATCCAACAGGACTAAGGCCCTCCAAGCAGAGGGGGAACACGCTCTGGGCACGCAGTCACCCAGGGAGGCCATGACAGCACAGAGGAAAGTCCACCAACAGGCACCTTGCTCTTACTGCCCAGCCTCCAGAGAGGAAATAAACGTCCACTGCTCATGCCGCCCAGCCCGAAGTATTTTGTTATGCAGCCTGAGTGGATTAATACAGCAATGCTACACCTTAATTCCAAACTCTGTTCTTCATGAGAAAAGCATTCACTTAAAAGGAACAAAAGTCAAAAGATTTGCCTTTAAAAATTCTAGCCCTTAAAATGACAGAAACTAAATAAAGTCTTTTCTAAAAAGTTCCTTTATCAGCTAAAAGAAGCTATTATTTAGATCAGAAAAGTTAGAAGTTAGGATTAATTCTTATTATCAAAGGGAACATTTTTTCCCCGAAATTAATTAACTGTGGTTCCTAAGTACACCTGTGCCTTCCTCAGAGCTAGACAAAATCTTTAAAACAGGGGAGGCGGGGGAAGATTCATATTGGTCCAAATAAGAGAGGTAAGTGTTATCAGGAAATAGATATATGTACTTAAAATCAAATTTCTTCTGTTTACGTTGTATATGTGTTTAGAAATTCTCACCAACTTACAAACATTCCTGACTGCCTGTATATTAAATAGCAGCCAAGAACATGAATTCCAGATCCCAAATACCAAGGTTTCTGTCTCTCTCTGTTTTGTGCTTACTAAGTGGCTCTCTTTCAGTTACTCACCTGTAAAAAGAGAGATAACTTCCCATAAAGGCTGCATCTTCCCCTACAGGATTCTTCTCCATTCTCCCACTCCCCCAGCCCCAAGAATAAATTTTATTTACTTTCTTACAAATTATGGTGATCCACTGGAATCAGCACCACACAGACAGGACTTTTTATCTCAGTATCCCAGAGCAGAAAACAAAGAAGAAAAACCAAGGTGAAAACTGTCCTGGTTCACAGGTTAACCTTCTCTTTTTATCCCAAACACCCGATTTCTGCATCACCCCTACTCTCTATAATATCATGTATAAAACTCATGAGATGGAGCGTTCCAGCAGTAGATGCAGGCAGACCCCTTGTGTCTAGGGTCCTTCAGTTTTCCAAGATTTGGTATTTGATTCCTCGAAAAAGATCCAATTATAAAGATAGCCCATACCACCCAATTTAGCCTAAATTTCTGTTATTGCAGTTAATATTTCTTTCTGGACCTGGACAACTATCTCACTTCTATAGGACAAGTCTATTCCATGTATAAGACGTATTGATTAATTCCACTAAGTGGGACAGTATGGCTCCCATTTTGTCCTTCATTATAAGCAAGACGACTACAAAAACTGAAGACATAAAAAAGGGAAGACTTTTTAAGTACTCCATTTCATCTCCTGCCATCTACAGAAAAGAAAGGAAAAGTTCTTAGAGGAAGTGGCATTTCCTCACCTGTTCCCTAAATAGTTTTCAATTTTAAAGGGTGGGTGTAAAACTCCTTTGCTATAAGCTGTTGCAAAATAATTGCTCAGATAAGCTGTTCCATACTCAATTTAAAATGCAGCATTTTCAGTCATTTTTAAAATCTCACTCCAAAGTAAATAAGCATTGATATTTTTTTCTACAGTAAATAACCACTAGTGGTTTTTAAGAATTTTAACTATTATCCCTCACTAATAAATATACTCGAACCAGGCAGTGAACACTGCTCCAAAAAAACACTGAGCAAAAAAAAAAAGAGAGAGATTCAAATAAAATATGCTACAAAATCCATACTGTCAGCTCGAAAAAAATCTCAAAATTCAATCACTACCAGCTTAGACTCTATAAAGATACCACTTCTAGTTATAAATACCTTGCTTCTAGAAATGGGAGTCCTTGAGTTGACTCCTAATAATTTTATATTTTACAGAGATTTGCCCAGTCTCTAGGCTACTGAGCAACACACACTAAAACTATACTGGAACAAAAGCCTTGCAACTCCTAGTCCAGCTCTCTTTCCATTTCATGTTACTTCCTCACAGCTCGACTTCTCCAGTGTCAAGGACAAGGCATGCTTTTGTAAACTGGTGACTGAGAATACTGCGCGATGTATCGCAATGTATCACTGTGGGCTGCAGCCAAGTGCTTACATTTTAAAATAGACAATTTAAGTAATAGCGAACATCTTCCTTTTACAAATAAGAAACTATGGCCCAGTACAGACAGCTAGTCTGTGGCAGTCTTTTGGGGAAAAAGTGATCTCCCTCTAGAAAGATAACCAGTTAAGATCTGAATGGGCAGAAGAGAGGCCTTTCCAGGTAGGAAAATCATATAAGCAAAAGCTTAGTGGATGAAACAAATCAATCAAATTCAGAGGACAAAGAATAAATTCTTTTGACCAAGAATAAAGACAAATTTAGGAATGGCTAAGTTTTGTGTTGGGGGTAGGAGAGGGAGTTTCAACTCTTAAAGAATTAAACTTCATCCTACAGGCAGAGGGAAGCTAGAGTGGGTTTTTACCAATAAATGTAAATGTCTCAGAAATTGTGCGTTTGTCTGAAAGCCCAGACTATAAACATAAAACAAAGGTTATAAGAGCCAAAATATTTAACCACTCTATTTAATCCAATTAAACATTTAATCCAATTATAAAAGGAAAAGTGGAAAAGATATTACAAAAAAAGTTAAATAATAGAATAAAAAATGTACAATGAAAGAAAATGAAACAAATGAGAGAAGAATAAATAATAGAGGTGGACAAACAAATTAACAGCTACATAACAAAAGACATTACTTCATGCAAGCAGTCAAGTTCTGGAAAGAGGATTTAAATGATCCAAACAAGTCCAGTCTCCAAAGTTAAAACAACACTCAAAGCACAACCACCAAACGTTACTGTTTCAAACTGCAATAACTCACCTCTCTAGCAGCACAATCATGAGGAGCTTCTTCTTTATTTACTTTTCCTTTTGGAAATCCCCAGCCTGATTTTGCTAGGTACCCCTGAACCAGTAGTACCTGCAAGACAATCAAGAGGTAAAAATAAAACTTGCTCTCCTTTCCCATATTCCTTTCTAAAAGCCAGAAGTGCTTTTCTCCTTACTTCAGTTAACTGTTATCACCAACAGTTTTACTTGGTTAACCATCTTCCAGGAAGCCAGATATACCATTACTTTTCCTGTGAAGAAAGGCATTCTGCCAATTTTAAAGCATTTCCTCAGCAATCGAGTTCCTTTACAATAGGCCATACTGCAACAGGTATAAATTATTAAGACCCAGAATGCAGACAGAATATGCAAATTTTGGTCTTGTATCACTAAAAATCTAAGTATACTTTTAAAACCTCAGTTCAGAACATTATAGATAAAACATTAGGATGAAAACAGCTGATTACCATTTCACTTTAAAATTCTGTATTACTCTCACTCACATTTTCAAGTGTCTCATCAAGAATAATTGCACCATATGTTGGCACTCCCATTTTATATTCCTTCCATTCATCCAAAATTTTTTCCACATCTTCACCTTGAGGCAGCAAAAATGGACAATGACTGAAGAGTATACCATGCGTTAAGGAAGCCACTTACTTTCTCCCTTAATACAGTTTAAGCACATATACACAGAAAGACATCTTTTTAAATGAATTGTGTATTTTATACAAAATTACTCACATCTTCACCTCATGTAAGTGTATCTTTCTTGTCTTTTCACATTTGTTTTCGCCTGAACAAAACATTTCTAACTTCTTGCATTTAGCCCAGGCACAAATCAAGTAAACTTTGAACACACATGCTCTGGCACCCTAAGTTACCACCAAAAAACTCAGGGCCACGTCAGCACTTCCAATCACTAAGTGTGTCGAATTTATCATATGAAGAGTCGACAGACAGTGAAACCGACAGCAAGAAAGACAAGCACAGCACACACAGTAAGAGGCAGGGGCCGTCAGAGGAACCAGAAGCGGGGCGTCCCTGGCAGTGCAGGCGTCAGGGCGCGCTTCCACAGCAGGCGGTGCAGACTCAACCCCTGGCTGAGGAACTAGGACCCCGCAAGCCTCTCAGCCGCCCCGCCGCCCTCACCCCAGAAGGCAGCGAGAGGAGCTACCCCTAACTCTGGGAAGCAGAACTAGAGATGAATGAAGCATGCACGCTACAGAGCTGAATATTTTTCTTTACCATGTGTATGTATCGCTTTTATAATTTAATACATTCTAATGATGAAGATTTATTAAGGATTATAGAGAAATGTAAACATGAGTATTAAGGAAAGTATGGCCTGTTTCAAAAGAAACTGGGTATGCCTCTCCAAATTTGGGCAGGGTAAATATTTTTTTCTAAAGTAAACAAAACCTAAACCTGTAAAGTATATGCTCAGGCTTCCAATACTCATATGCTACCAAATGCCTCATTACAACACTGTTAATTATGAAAACTATAGGGCAAATTATAATTTATGACAGTGTTTCTCAAACAGAGGACCCTCTCAAAGGTTTTCAAGTCCTCTGTGAAAACGTACATATTCTGTCTTTTCATTTTTATGTTAATGTAAGAATAGAAGGTTTGTAACAGATAAGGCAAAGAAAGGTGCAGGGAAAACTTGTAGTACACACACGTCAACATCCTCAAAGAAGTCAGCATTGTATTCACATTAACTACTGAGTTAAACAAAAACATCACATTAAATTCATTTTATGAAAACTAATTTTATGAGCTGTACATTTTTCTGTCTAAAAATATGGTATTATAGCTGCAGTAAGAAATAAAGTTCTCAAAGAGCTCAAAAAAGGCAACCATCTATAACACTGTATTAAATAGGCAAGCACTAGGTTAAAAATATTTTTTGCTTTCATTTAGGGAGTGGGGGAATCATGTGGATATAATATTAACTATTCCGTAAAGCTCTATGGAAGGATTTTGGAAGATTCCAGCTTCCTATAATTCTGAAAGCTATTTCCCATTAAAAGTCTAGCCTAAGATATTTAGTAAAAATTCCTTATGTGTTCTAGAGTCACCACAGATTTTTTTAATCTAATTATATATTTTAAATAGATAGATATGTTTTTCCATTAAAAATTTAACCACAGGGGGAAAAATATGAAAATAACCCAGGAACAGAAGTAACTTCCAATAGTGTTAAAGAGGAAGTGTCAAAGAGGAAGACACTTCCCTCGTTTTTTTTCCTTTCTCTTCCTTCTCCCTACAACGTTCCTAATAATTTCACAGTGCATTAGTGTATCTATAACGAAGTTTTATCTCATCTTTCTACCTATTAAACTTCTTCTTCAAAAAGAATAACAAACATTAGCAAAAGAAATTAAAATCAATGGACATCATCTTGAAAATTATCTATATTCTTCATTTACCCATTTTTTTTCCTACCCCAAAATCACCATAAAAAGAGTGAGCTGATGAACCAATCAACTGCAGAGCAAGATATATTTGGAATTAATGATGAAAAGCACTTGCTCAAGTCCACACAATTAGCAAATAACAGAACTCAATCCAAAGTGACATCAATTTCCTCACTGAAGACAACTCTTCAATCCTCCTCCATATTCAATAGTAATTCATTCCAACAATGGAGTGGAAAGTTTTTTGGGTTTTTTTGGAGTGGAGAGTTTTTAAATACCACTTTTATTTAATGAGACAATGTACTTAACTCAAAAAAACCTTATGATATGCTGAGTAATGATAATTATTTTCTAATTTTTACTAAAATTATTATTTGACTACTGTCTTATTTTCTTAACCATCAAACCAAATTATTTTGCATCTTGAATCTTGGCTTACTGGGTCTTACCAACAGTTCTAAGAGAAAGACAGAAGATCACACTGATTGCATAAAGAATGGAAGAAGCACATACGTCTACTTGTATTACACATGTCCCATCTCTTAACAATTCAGTGATTCTTTAGTAGACTCTTTTTAACATTTCTGCAAAAACATGAAAAATACACTCTAACTGTAGACAATTATTTCACTATAACTGCCATCCAAAATCCTTCTGTTATCACAGATGACAACAATTTCCTCTCGGGTCAAGCTCTGGCCCCAGTTCCCTGTATTCCGTGTCCTCACATCCATGCCCACTTCTGGGACCAACTCCCGCAGCAACAACCTGCACCTTGCCATCAACAGAACTATTACAGTGCTTTGATTAGAATAAAACATCTTGGCCATAATTTTCTACAGCAGTCTTTTAAGTAGTCACAATATATGGTTATTCTACATCTATTTTTGACTGTTCTCATGTCTCCATATTAGCACCCTCTGGCTTTTATTTTCTTCTCTCCACAATACAGTCCATCACTTTAATCAATGTCTTAGCAATATTCAAAACTCGTTTGCCACAGTTATGAATATAGCTCCCCAGCAAAACCTCAACCCAGAAGCAAGTCCAGGACAGTCAATCTATAGCACATACTGGGGTATGTCATATACACTCAGGCAAGTACTACTGGCACATACTCAGTTAAGTGCTGCACCTGAGTAGTCCGAAAGAAAAGTCACAGGATTGTGCACAACTAACAAAAGAAAAAACAGAGTCACAGAGAAGCCCTACTATTTGTCCAAGGTTGCACGACTGGTAAATGGCAAAGATGGGATGGTAACGCAAGGAATGTGGTTCCAGAGCTCACACTATTAACTTTTACTCTGCAGTCTCACAGGTACCACAAATCAGTGTCCGTCATGCCCCCACAAAATTTCTCCTTTATTTTTCTACAAATGGAATGACACAGCCATCCACTCAATCGCTCAAATCAGAAACCTGGATACCATCCTCGACTCCTTCCTCTACCTCTCCTCAGACATTCAAGTTAAGACAAAGTTTACCTCCTAAATAGCACTGAAATTTAATATCTTCTATTCACTTCTATCAGAAGTTTCCATTTCTCTCTCATAAATTAATGAAACAGCATCTTAATTAGGTTTCCAATCTGACATTCCTCCAATTCACTGCCTGCACTATCTCAGGAATGTTTTTCAAAACATCCCGAGAGAAATAAAGCAAATGTGGCAAAACGTTAACAATGGGTAAATACAGAGAAAGGGTATGGTGGCACTTGATTTTAATATTCTACTTCTCTGTAAGTCAAACTTTTTTCCTGGAAGTCTTTTTTTAATCTCCTACATTCTTTTATTACCCTTATGGGTAAAGTCCAGAAAAATACGGCCCAGTAGATTATGCCTCCAAAGAAGATTTTTGTCTAATTTCAAATTGGAATGGGATTACTCACATCACTATTTCTAAAGAACACTAGGCTACCTTATCAGAACCTATCAGACTTCAGTGAGATCATGTCCTTTCCTGCTGGTCATCCTAAAGACAGCGGCCAAATACACCCTGTTCACTACGCAACGCCTGGCACAGACTAAGCCCTCAGTTATTTAATGGAGTCTGGGGGCAGGAGAAGGGGACGACAGAGGATGAGATGGCTGGATGGCATCGCTGACTCAACGGACATGGGTTTGGGTAGACTCCAGGAGTTGGTGATGGACAGGGAGGCCTGGTGTGCTGCGATACAGTCGCAAAGAGTCGGACACGACTGAGTGACTGAACTGAACTGAACCACATTAGAGGAAGCTTTTTCTTCCACATAAGTGAATTAGAAGAAGAAACTTAACTAAAACAGGGGCGCTTTTTTTAAATAATAAGAAAAGTTTTAAAAATTCATATAAACACAACTGCAATTGTGTTTCAGGAAAAACTGAAAATTCAGGAGACCCTGGGTTAGGAAGATCCTGGAGAAGGAAACGCCAACCCACTCCAGTATTCTTGCCTGGAGAACCCCATGCACAGAGGAGCCTGGTGGGCCGCAGTCCACAGGGTCAGGAGAGTCGGACAGAACTTAGTGAGCAAACCACCACATAAGCACAAAATCTGATCCAGAACCCCAAAATATGTACAGTTGCTCTTATAAGACCCCAAGTCTATGCAAAACAGACCGAAACCAAAGAAGACAGCTTTCTTACTTTACTCATGTTTCTCCAGTTAGATTACAGCTCCTTAGAAACAAAGTGCTCTACGATTTCCTCATAAAATCCGCGACCAAGACTCTAACAGAGGCAGTGTTCCACAGCACTTCCATTCCACCTTTGTGCATTTACTTCTCCGCAGTTGCTGAGAAACTTTCAAAGGTTAACAGCTATATAGATTAACAGTTTATATAGCTATAAACAGTTTCACTCATTTTCTGCAGAACCCTAAGGGGTTCCTTTTAAGAAAAAGCACAGGGAGCTGAGCATGAGGCTTAAGTCACCTATTCCTACTCCCTCTAGTGTAGTAGTGAACTTATGGGTATAGAGCCATGTCAACACATGGTTTAAAAACAATGACCAAGAGAATAAAAATCAAAGCATTTTGGCTCAAGATTTAAAAACTCACAAATTCCCCTACATAACTTCCATCCCTATCTCCTCTTGGATCCCTGTAAGAATCTTAGTAAACATTTACTTTCCATGGTATTGCTTATTATTTCCAACTCCCCAATTTTTTGCTCCATCCCTTTTCTTTATCTGTAATGTATTTCCCACTCCAGCCTGCTTACAGGAAATGTAGAGTGAAAATTCTACATTCCCTTTAAAACATAGCCTTGCTTAAACTTGCATAAAACTTTCCACCTTCTGCCAAATTCTAGAAACAGTATCAAGAGCATTAGCAATTTACTAGGTTTTTGGCCTTGTGACATAGCTTCCTTTTATAATCTTAAATATTCGTGTGAATCTAATTATGACAAGTTTCTATCTTATTTGTAAATAGGGAGGAACAAAAGCTTCTCAGAAGGCAAGGAATCTGTCATAAAACCAAAAACTGTTTTGAACTCAGGAAGTATTCAATAATTACTTAAGAATATCTATCCCAGAAAGGTAGTAATCTCAATAAAGATCATGCAGTTAAGTGGTACAGCAAGAGGAATGTAAAAACAACAACAGAAAAACCAGATCAGTTCTAAAAACAGGCTAGCTATATCTGAAAGAAAATCAAATTTATTTCTAATCGTAACTGCACATTTTAGGGGGTCCACAACATAAATAAGTATACAGTTGTCCCTCCAGTATCGACAGGTGTTACCAAGACCAACCTCACTCTGCTCACTACATGACAGGCCAATGAACCCGAGATACAAAGTTGAGGCAAAGAATATGATTTTATTCAGAGGGCCAACTAACCAAGATGGCCAACTAACGTCTCAAAATAATCATTTTGCCAGGGTCTGGATGCCAGGTTCTTTTAAAGACAGACAAGGGGGGGAGGTGAGGAAACAAAATAAAAAGACTATTAACCTTGCAAGTTATCTCCTAGAATGGCCAGCCTTAGGCAGGGGGGTGTGTTCATTTCTTCCTTCCTGCCAACTACAGGTGGGGGGTGGGGGGTCTAAACAAAGGCACTTTAAAAACAGTCAGGCTTCTCTGAAGCAGGCCATTATGTACTATTATAATAACAAAAGCAATGGAAAGCAAGTTAAAGAAACAATTTGAATATGGAGTCGGAATTGACTTCTCCCTGCAACAATGTGTGACCCACAGGGAGCGGCCGACTCCACCCTGCCTTTTAACACCATCAAAGAAACCTGAGCTGGCTTCCCTGGTGGCTCAGTGGTAAAGAGCCCTCCTGCCAATGCGGGAGACGTGGGTTTGATCCCTGGGTCGGGTAAATCTCCTGGGGAAGGAAATGGCAACCCACTCCAGTATTCTCACATGGGAAATTCAATAGCAAAGGAGTCTGATGGGCTATATAGTCCATGGGGTCACAGAAAATTGGACATGACTTAGTGACTAAACAAGGAACATCTATGAATTCTGGTATCCTGAGGGAAGGGGAGTGGTCCTGGAACCACCCCCATGAATACCAAGGTGCAACCCTACTATCAAACTGTGCCTACCACCATCAGGCACAAACCATATGTATATGCTTTATGTATTTCACCAATTTTAGAAATCATTATGTTTTATTTAAAAGATTATAAATCTCAAAGACAAGCAAAAGAAAATTTGTGCTAAAACATCTTATTAACAAGAATGAAAGACAGTCATTATAGTAATAAAAAGGATATCAGCTTTAGCAAAGTCTCTTATCCCACACTGAGGTAATCCTGGTGTGTTCTGCATGTAGAAATCCAAGTAAAACCAATGGGCAAGTTCAATCTGAAAACACACTCGGATAGCATTGTCTCTTTCCTCGCTGGGAATATGCAAAATAAATCGGCTGTCAAAAACAAAAAACATACAAAAATTACATTTACAAACCATAACAATTTATTTTAACCTTTTTAATTGCTTCATTCCTGACCCACCAACACGAAAATACATCAAAAGAAGTACTGATCAAGGAAGCAAAATTGGCAGGAAAGTGAAAGTGTTAGTCGCTCAGTCTGTCCAACTCTTTGCGACCCCATGGGCTGTAGCCCCTGTCCATGGGATTCTCCAGGCAAGAATACTGGAGTGGGTTGCCATTCCTTTCTGCAGGGGATCTTCCCGACCCAGGGATCAAACCCAGGTTCCTGCACTGCAGACAGATTCTTTACCATCTGAGCCATCAGGGAACCCAGGAAAGATGAGTTATGAATGAATCTCATTCATAACACAATTTTTTTAAGAGGCCATCTATCCTCTGTTCACAAGTACAGAGATTAAGAGCTCACTAACAATAAATTAAAGGTGAATAAGAAAACAAACTTGTGGGACTTCCCTGAGGTCCAGTGGTTAAGACTCCACTCTTCCACTGAAGCAGGCACAGATTTCATGCCTGGTAGGGGATGTTAGCACATCCCGCAAGCCATGTGGTGTGGATTAAAAAAAAAAAGAAAGAAAGAAAAAAAATCACTAGGATTCCCTCCCATGTCTGGTAACATTTTCAAAGAATATATGCAAATAAATTCATACACTCAAACAGAAAAGATGTTAGCTGTTTAATCTTTATATTTAAAGTATTACAAAGAAATGCAAAAGAAATCATTAATAGACCAGACTTCCCAAAGAGCTCATCTGAAGAACCTGAGTTCAAAATAACTTTCAAATACAATCACTTTAAAAAAATCTAAATTGTCTTTTCCAAGTACATTCAGAGGAAGAAACAGTTAATACATGGTATAAGGGTACGCTATATTATACATACAAATGTATATGTATGATTAAGATAATGAACCCCTTTTTGTGCAACAAACCAATCAAAATTTATGTGATTTATAGGACACATTAAGCAACCACCATTAACCTTCTTCCATGCTTAGCATTTTCTGTAACCTTTTTCTAGTGACTTTTAGAGACAGAATGAAATTACATAAAAGAAATCCACTGGTGTCTAGAGTCATTTTTTAAAATTTAAAATAGCATCACCCAATTTGATCACTTACATGAGCAGTCCCCAACCTCTCTGGCACCAGTTTCATGGAAGACAATTTTTCCATGGACTGGGACAAGGGGGATGGTTTGGGGATGATTCAAGCACGTTACATTTACTGTGCCCTTTATTTCTATCATTATTATGACATCCGCTCCACCTCAGATCATCAGGCATAGATCCCAGCCTTTGGGGCCTCTGACTTACACTATTCATTAGTTGTGGTGATAAATGTTCTTTGCTATTTTCAAGTTTCAAATCAAATCTCAAAACAATACTGTAAAAATTATAAAAATATATCATTCCAATAGGGAACTGAATAAGTAGAAGTTAAGACAAATATATGTACAATAATCTAGAAAAACAATCTGTATTAAGATTAATCTGTATTAAGAACAAGACAGGTAACATGTAACCCTGACAGCATTGTCCAAGACATAAAAGTCTCTTCCACGTGGCATTTAAGATCCAGTGCCTACTTACCTGCACAGCCTCTATCACTCTGTAAAGTTCTTTATACCCAGTGACACCTGATTCTTAGAAATATGCTAAATCGCCATCCACATACTATCTCTCTCCTCTCCTTATAATTCATTCCTCATGACTTACTTACAGGTCATGAGGAACGACTTATGAATTACCTACTTCATTCATTTCTTATAATTCATTCCTCATGACTTACAAACACTGCATCTCCTACAGTGGCAGGTATATCAGACTCCTCTAAACAGATTTATATACTCTTTCAACTCCTACTCCATTAAAGCAATAATCTGATTTTTACTACTGGGTGCATGCTCAATCGCCAAGTCATGTCCAAGACTTTGCGCCCCATGGACTGTAGTCCACCAGGTTCCTCTGTCCGCAGGACTTTTCAGGCAAGAATACTAGAGTGGTTTGCCATTTCCTTCTCCAGGGGGTCTTTCCGACCCAGAGATCAAACCCACGTCTCCTGCATTGCAGGCCAATTCTTTACCACCATTACTGTCCATAAACTGTTCCAAGTTAGTTCACTGAGATAAAGTGCTGAACTCAGTCTTGAATATTCACTGGAAGGACTGATGCTGAAGCTGAAAACTCCAATACTTTGGCCATCTGATGTGAAGAGCTGACTCACTAGAAAAGACCCTGATGCTGGGAAAGATTGAAGCTGGGAGGAGAAGGGGACGACAGAGGATGAGATGGTTGAATGGCCATCATCAACTCGACAGATCTGAGTTTGAGTAAACTCCGGGAGTTGGTGATGGACAGGGAGGCCTGGCATGCTGCAATCCATGCGGTCGCAGAGCTGGACACAACTGAGTGACTGAACTGATCTTTGCATATTTTTACTCCCATAGTCTAGCAAACTGACATATACTGGCAGTTACAATTTATCTTTGAAATGTAAGATGGGGTAAGCACACTCCACTCTGTCCCTCCCACAAAATGCAGCTATAAACCCTGAATGAAATACATAGACCAGCTATTTGAGGATGGTGAAAAGTAAACAGCAGCAGGAAGATTGAGGAGGATGACAAATATCTGAATTTACCATTTTTCCACCCTCCAGTATCCCTAAGGTGGACGGGGGGTTAGAAGTGAGCGCCAGGAGCCCTCAAGTTCTGCCTCAAGGATCAAGACAGGAATCTAAAGGAACCTCTCCACAATGAGGGTCTCCCCCTCTCTTCTCCCTTCTCTCATGCCACAGTACCAAGCAATGCCATACTGGTTAGAGTTGGCAGCAAGTGACTGTAACAGGGTCCACAGAAGTTAAAACCTTGTCGGACAAGAACCTTCCTCTCCGATCACAAGAACTGTGCAGTCCCAACAGAGCAGGGCCAACATCCATAGCTTATCCTCATCTCCAGCCATGTGGTCCCAGGCAGGAGGAGAGTCACATCAAACACGTGGTAAAGTGGCTTTTGGTTCCTGCCATTTTTCAATATTCAAATTCTTCAAAAAGGGGAGCCAAGAAGTACCAGGGAGACAGCAGAGAAGGAGGAGCTGAGGCCCCACAGAATCATCTAGGACTCTGACGCTCAACCTCAAGCTGCACAAACATGGGCAGACTGGGGCTTCCCTGGTGGTCTGAGGGTTAAGAATCTGCCTTCCAATGAGGCAGACACAGGTTCAATCCCTGTCCTGGAACTAGGATCCCCCTGCTGCAGGGAGACTAAGCCCCCGCACCACAACTACTGAAGCCCATGCGCTGTATCACATGTGCTCCAGAACGAGAGTCCGGGAAGCAGCCTGCACGCCGCAGCCAGAGCGAGCCGTGCGCAGCAACAAAGATCCAGCGCTCAGACCACCAGCAGTACACCGCAGACATAGTCAACTCAACTACCTACGAGAGAGACCACTCCTCCAGCCTCAGACTAGCCAGTACACGATACACCAAGGCAGAATGCACACAAAAACTAGACTCATTTTATCTGATTTTAATAAACTCACACCAAGTCTCAAAGGGGGCTTCTCTGTGGCTCAGATGGTAAACTAATCTGCCTGCAATGCGGGAGACTCAGGTTTGATCCCTGAGTCAGGAAGATCCCCTGGAGAAGGGAATGGCTACCGACTCCAGCATTCTTGCCTGGAGAATCCCATGGACAGAGGAGCCTGGCAGACTACAATCCATGGGGTCACAAAGAGCTGGATGCAGCTAAGAGACCAACACTTTCAAGTCTCAGGAAAAAAAAAAAAAAATGAAAGGAAGAAAAGAAAAACCAAAAAAAGATACACTATGGTTGTGATAAAAAAATAAATAAATAAATTAATTAAATTAAAAAAATAAAAAAAAATAAAAAAAATAAAAAAGAAAAGAAAAACCACCTGTCTATTATTTCTTAATGTTCTCAGTTTGGGACATTTTCTATTGAATTCCATTATGGAAGAAGATCAAGAATTAACTCTATTCCTCCTCTCATTCGGCACACCATTGTCCTCTCCATCATCCCAACAAATGGTATCTTAGTTTACTTTTTTAACTTCAGCACTACTGACATCTGGAGCACATAACTATGTTAAGAGGAGCTGTGCTATATGCTCTAGGTGTTCAGCAGCATCCACAGCCTTTGCTTATCAGGTATCAACAGCACTCTCCAGCAAGCTGCAACAACCAAAAAGATCTCCAGTCACTGCCAAACGTCCCTCGAGAGGAGCAAAACGCAGTCCCAGTCTACAACCACAGCGTCAGATCAGCATTCAAGTCCTCCCACTACGATTCTGTAAACACAATTCACAGCTAAGCCGTATAATCCACGGCTTTTTCCCATTTAAAAAATTACTTAATTTAGCTGTGCGGGGTCTCAGTTGCGGCACATGGGATCTTTTAGCTCCAGCATGTGAACTCTCAGCTGCAGCATGCAGGATTCTCGTTCCCTGACCAGAGCCCGAACCTGGGCCCCCTGCGCTGGCAGCAGAGTCTTAGCCGCTAGACCACCAGGAAGTCCTTGTTTTCCGTCTTAAGCACAATCAAAAGTTCTCCCACTAATTAATAAATGTCTTGTCACTGCTTTACTTTCTCCATACCTGTCACTAACTTAATCATTCACTAGTTTTCTAAATTCTTTTCTCGAGGTGTTCATTCAGACACACCAGTTTCATCTTGAAGACTATCCCTGAGCCTTCTGATCTGTTCCAATCTGGAGTGACTGCCACTGCATATAATATACATCTGTCATCCTATGCTGTCCCTTCACTAGCATCCTATGGTTCCCACGTCTCCACCCTATACTAGACCTCATGTTCCTACATCCCATCTTCCTCCTGATTAATGTACTTCCTTATTTTCACTTAGTACCACCTTCCATGCCTTCTGGAGAAAGAATGCAGGAGAGATAAATATTAAGACACAGTGAATTTGAAAATATCTTTATCCTCACACTTGA